CCTCCAAAATTGTCGCGATTCGGCAAACAATGTGAAACAGCAGAGGAGCACTGCGGAATGGACGAAAATAAAAATTCTTGACCAAACATGAAACCGACTACAGTATTCCGCGATTTTACAGTATGCATATTTAATGACGTTATGCACTCACCGCCACCAGTGCTTTTTCCAGGCCGTGCGACGACGTTATTCGCCCATCATTGCCAGCTTTGGCACAGCTGTCACATTGTCCGCGATTGCATATGCGGCACATCCCTGCTTATTTCGCAGCTGACGCACATATCTTGATTCGTATATCACCACATATGAAGACTGTTCCAATATTCGTAGGGAACGGGTAGAGATAGTTGGCTAATTTAATTATGTCGGCTCCAACGACGGCAACCTTCGGTCAGAGTCAAGAAAAAGTTTGCCATCGCCTCCAGCGCTTAGGCGGAGCTCCAATATTTAGTCTGGCAAAGAAGTAAAACTTTCCACAAAAATCAACTCGTGCCTTGCTCGGTCTAGTCACTATTGTTACACAGCTTGGAAACAATTACTCTAACAAATCTGCATGAGCGTCAGTTGAACTACGTACAGCAGCGCTGGCTTCGATGCATAGTGAGGGCTAAATGGCAATGAGACTCAGATCACGTAAGGAATGAATATACTCCTATGTGGTAAACAGGTGACCTTAGTAGATGTGGAGATTAAGAAAAGGAGGTTCATCTGGTCAAACAAACTTTGAGAATAAAACATTTACTCTAACTCATGAAGTTCTCGTACGAAAGCCAAAACACGACATATGTCGAGCCGGAGGCCAGAATGCAACATGGAGGAACAAGATAGAAGTAGATCTGCTTTTAGAAAAGAATATATCCTTCTACAATGCAACAGCCGGTGTCTTACAGTTAGTGTTGAAAAACAGTGGATACAGTAGTTTATGTAAACGGCTCGAGGTGATGAATTGAACAGTGACAACTGTTAATGTCAATGTTTGCTGCTGTTGTTTACAGCAGTTGAAAGGTTTAGTCTCTTAAGTAAAAGTTGCGCTCATGCAAGTCGGCGACGGATGAAACGAGGCTCCTTCCGAACAGGAACATTTCACAACCCGAAGAAGGGGACAGTTTGAATTGGTCATTTCTAGCTATCATGTCAGCTCAGCTTTTGGAACCGAACGGCACCCGAACTGTCAGAGTTCACAACCACTGTACCGCTATATCATTTCTTGGAGCGGAACGCCAGTAGATGACGTCTTTCAGCCTGCTACATTTGAGAAATTAGTTATCAGAGTCTACGCTCATCACTTCTCAGAATTCCTAGAGTTATTCCGCTGAACAGAACATTAAGCAAACTGGGGCGTCTGTTGGCCGACTACACCATTAATTCATTTACCGAGAAATGGAACTATTATGAGCACGGTAAATACTTTTAGAAAAAAGGAGTCGGATGTCTTGTGTAACCAGTTTTATGATTCGACCAAAGTTTTGACCCCAAAAATCCATCCTCTCGTCCTTGCCACAGAGAACGAAAGCGATTGGTAAAAAACGGCGGTGTCTGTACCCCGCTAGCCGCTGAGAGATCCGTGAGGGCCTATCGTTAACCCTTAAGTGAATAGCCAACGAGGCTCCAGTGGATCTTTATAAAATCCTGACTGGTGGTCATAACCACTCAGTGGCTGGGAAGCGGCTGCAACTATTCAGTCGGTCGATGAGTGAGTTCTATTCGTGGAAGCCAAAGGCGGTTCTGATTCACCAGCAAGCATCAGCTCTCAGCGGAGTTATGTGGTTGCTTTGCCGTGCTCTCCTTCTCCCTTGCTCCAATGAGACAGACAATTAATGACAACTAACTAAAAGAAGTAGGAACTGAAACTATGCACTATGGTTTCGACCCCTGGCTCATCAACGCAGCAGCCCAAAGACATTATTTTGATTGGCGTATGGCTACCATCGACTACGCGCGCATTATCATGATAATTTCACAAAAGAGGTCTGTCTTAAAGGTTCAAATTGTCCGATCTCATTAGCCGCATGTTTTGGAGTCTATAGCACGTCGCTGCAGGTACTTTAGTGCATAGAAAAATGTTCACCGTATTTCTTCGCTATGACGCCAGCCTTCACTCAGTCGTTACTCGTTTTGATCAGCACAGTGCCAGATTAAAGCTACCTTTTAACTCGTAGTCATTACGGTTTGATGACTCCGTCTATGAACCACAATTAATCTGTGGTTCACATCCTATCATTTCACATGAAACGCTGTACTTCTCTTAAAGAGCTTAGGACTTAAATCAGGCTCGTCTTGACCTACCTAATGCCATTTTGCAAAATTATACGAATTAACTTTTAAGAAGCTGTCCTGGCACTATTCGTTTTATCATATCATTAGCATAACATCCGTTCTGTCTTTGAAAAAACATGAAAATCCGTTTGGTCTGGTTAAGCTCAATTCCGTCCAGACATGATCGATTTGAAATCACGTTCAAATCCAAACTACCGAAATAGGAATCCAAAATACGGAACAGATTATTGTGAACCCTGAAAGAAATGTCAATAATTATCAGGCAAATTTACCAAATCTGGTCAAAAGCTGTTTCTGGTCTTGTTGCGAAGCTCTCGGGATATAATAGGTGACTCTCAAAACCACGGAGAGGTCAACATCAAGCCGCCAGATATGCTTGGTCGTTTGCACGCCTTGTTCGTCGCCTCATTGCCCTGGTACTCGTCAACTGCACTTCTGCCGACGAAGCATGCAAGGTCGAAATCAAGTAATTACGAGAATTCGCCGGGAACGATGTGAAGCCGATAGTCGAGGATTTTAGCGACTGACAGGTTAGATAAATATGCCCTGGATGCTTCTTGGAGCACGTGACATATCACTGGTCCCACCGGTCCGCATGCACATCCCGCGTAAATTCGTAACGTTAAACTGAAATAGTTGTTTGCCGCCACGGGCGCAATAGGGTTTCGATACTAGACGACGAGCAGCTCAGAAAAAATCGAAAGCAGAAGAAAATTGCCTGGTGGTCTCAGGGAGGTCCACCACAGGGTGCACGATAGATTTTGCCATAGCAAGCAGTCTCCCGTTCCCGGGCTTAACAGCTCAACCACCAAACTTTATCGTGAATACGGATGGGAAGTGGAGCATGCTGGTTACTACGAAAATTGTTTCTGTACATTTTAGTCGTAAATAGAAAAGTGAAGCATAGAATTATTATACGGTCAGAACAGCTCCACAACTTAGTGATCGCTAGTCTTAATTTGACCAGTTCAGCGGGGTACCCTCCTCACCGGCATCAACTGAAACTGAGTCGCCATTGCGTCTAAACCGGTTATGCTTTCGCTTAACGGCATTATCGCTGACTACCTATAAATCTAAGCCTCTGCAGTCCCTGAGAAGAATGAAATTTACTTTTTGGTACAGCTTACGCCGAGGCAATAGTGCTGTAAAAATGACAAATTACCGGTTCAGCTTGTACAGTGAATTAACATTGGTACACACCGACATGGACAGATTGCCACTCTGGAATTCAGAACGTGGAACAAATTGTACAAACGAGGAAGGGAATCCAGCTCATTTTGCTATCCTACTGTATGTGCAGGTACGACTAATCCGAGTCTGTGTTTGTTGAACAATGAACGGAAACAACACTGTTCGAAGGAGCACCGTAAACACAATGTCGACAATGAGCACGAACATATGATTCACGTATGCATTTCGCTCAGTGTCACCTTTACCAGAAGTGATAAACCATTTAAACTAGCATCATATGTTCTTTCAGGTTTTCTATCAGAAATTTACAAACTGTTTAATCTTTTACAAGCCAATGCCTCGTTTCTGCAAAAATGCATACAAACGTAATGTCGTACTTCAGGCACTCGAAATATGCATGCAACCACAGCAGGAATATATCGGTCGAGGACATGCTGACTTTAGCCAACAAGCTCATTCAAATCTATCGAGATCTTGTACTCTTTGCCACTGGACGTCCATGTTCCCCCTACATTTCCCATAATTTGCAGACCTGTGATTGTATAATGGCTTTACCGTTGAAACGCAGAGCTTTCCATACATCAATAGCTTCTGTTCAAATTCCAAATTAGATCACTTTACTTATAAAGAATACAACGGCTCTGGAAGCAGTACATAATATTTACAGTCATTTTCACGATGATGCAATAAATACATATTTGTAGTAATAAAAGTTAAGGTTTTATGATAAACCATGAAAGGACAGTTATGTTAATAAAACAAAACAGTGAAAGCAATATTTTACGCAGCCATTTTAATCGCTTCAATTTCTTTCTCCATTTTCACTTCAAGGTTGTCCTTAATCGCTTCCAGAAAATCTTCAGTGGAAACATACATATGTTCTTTAATTCTATAAATCATATAATTAATTTAGAAATTGACTAAGAAAAACAAATTGGAAAAGAAAACAAACTTCTTTGAACTTCCACAAACGGCTAACGCTAAATCTTTTGTCATTTTCCCACTTTCAACGGTTTCAATGCAAGCCTTCTCAAGCGCGTGGCAAAAGCTAAACAGAAAAACTTAAATCCGACAACCATGGAGGGTTTTCACGTTTCTATTAAAAAATTTACTGTATAATTACAATACGTGGGATTTATTTTGTACTCTACGCGTCAATGCTGCCGGATCTGACTATCAGAAAAATATCCATTGATTTATTACCTGTTACTGAGATCAAGAGAAAAATTCGTTTTACTTTACTTCAGAGCAAGCTATCGAAAAGAGAAGTAATTCTAGAATCTGAAAATAAATGAGACAGTATGACGTTTTAAAGCTGTCATAGTGGAACTCACGAAACTCATGATCGGGCTGGAGGATGAGCTACGGTATCTGCAATGCATTTAATAACCCTAATCGCCGACTTTATTGTAATAAATGCAACAATCACACTACAAGCGGTAAATTAGGAAATTAACTTGCAAATAACAGTTTATTTCAACTTTGCAACTGATTTTATAAACCACTCCCATTTTCCGTCTGCAACGTCCATCGCTATACAAACGCCATGCCGCATTACATGATCGTATACATCTTGAAAAATAGGCAAATTGTCAACAATATGCTTCAGCATCTCGTTGATACTTCAGTGACTAGAATAATGGATCGTCTGGCACGACGAAATATGTAGTACCTTTTCTGTACAGAAATGGTCGACTAACGAAGCGGTGAAAATAGAGATTGACAATTCGTCATGTCCATATGGCAATTTTGCGCAAATGAAGGTGCTGCTCTGACTATAAACCCGAACGGAAGACTGGTTTTCGTCGTCCGCATCAATCCCTGACTCTTGAGCCTTAAGTTTTCTATTCGAGCTTATAAAACTAGGGTGGTACTGAAGTTCAAGTCGTACTGACGCTTTTCAAACAATCGAACACTTCTACAGACCCCGCAGTTGAACTATCTATTATAGTAGTAAGTCACAACGCATCCCGCTCTTAATTTGTACAAGGTTTTCACTACAACGTTTTTAACTGCCTCGTACAGGTGCTGTCGAATATAACGCTAAAACTCACGAGCTGTGCTATGAATTCTGTCGAATCAAAATATCAGCGAATTCGCTCACCAAACAATTGACAAACTTGTCGAAAGCTCAATCTGAAATACATTACGACTTACTTTCGTAAAGCGCTGTTATTATCAAGCTTAGCTCGATGTTCTAAGCCTCGTGTCCATGCAAAGATGCTCGCAATTGGATTGGTGCTAGTTTTTCGTCCAGCCTGGTACTCGCGATAGTGACGAGTTACCGTTCCATGAGCTGCTTCAGCCTCGATTGTTTTTCCATCCGGGCAAACCAAAACGCTGGTCATCAATCCAAGCGAACCAAAGCCTAAAACGGAATGAACGTGACCTGACCTTGTTCCCAGAGCTGAAAAATATGGGGCAATCGTCCACTTTACTAACAGCACTTAAGAATCAATTAAACCATCACATACATCACACCTAATAAGTTTCTACTTCGCATAATACTTTAAGTTTTGCTATGGTAAGTCCTGAGCCCTAAAATAAAATGATGATCACTAGAACATGATCACTAATCTACATGAAAAAAGAGATGGTACTAAACTGTAAGAGAAACTACACACATGACAACTCTTCAACACGCCTTTCGTTAGTTTTTATACACCATAATTCGTTTACTATCCAAAGCAAATCAAGATGTGTAACAGCAAGCTACTCAACAGCTGTCCCTCGAATTCGTCATTTCTAATCGTTAACTGTCATCCAGTACTTAGAGCCACGTTCAAATCCACCCATTAAACTATAAATCTAAAATCCCTTACTACACCTCAAGGTGACGAAGGTCTGAGAGTTAGATCGAATTCCTAAGAAGGCAATTAAGTATGGAGAAACTGGAATGACAGAAGACATTCATGCCCAGCTTCATCAAATGCGGACCTCCAAACGTTACCCTGGAGAACAGAACTGCATCGTTATTGTCTCTATATTTAAATTGGGGCAGAGACTCCGGAGACAGAGAGTTCCAAATACAGTTGTATCACCATACTATCAACTCTCGAGAAACTCTTCTTCGGGACTATCCTGGCAAGACTGAGACAGGCTTTAGACTGCGCCAAAATCAAGCAGGCTTCCGAATGGGTTACTCATGCCTCGACCATACTTTCTCTATCAAGGATCACTGAGTAATGCCGATGATTCCAACTGCCTTGGATTGTCAGTTTAACCTACTTTAAAACGGCATTTGCGCTCACTACATCGTAAGACGAGGTAGAAAATCTTGAAATGCTACGAGATACCAGAGAACATCGTTTCTATTTTGGAAGAGATGCATGCAGGAACAATGTCTGTTGCTAAACCAATCTATAAAAGGCTCCTTATCAACTGTGGAGTTCACAGGGAAATGTGATTTCGCCTTTGTTCATCAACATTGTTCCCGACTTTCTTCGTCGAAACAGCGCCAAATCTGGCAAAGACGGGCGTCTCATTCTAAAGGGAAGGCGCAATTCAACATATATTGCTAGACAACTCGCTGAACTGGAGTACGCAGATAATACTGTCCTGGTGAATAGTAGGGGAAGCGAACTGTCACCTGGTGGCTTCCACATAGCTGAGAAAGACGGCCACTTCCTTTACGTAAAACTGTCAAGTAATGAAAAACCCATCCGGCATGGATGATCTACAAGGGGTACAGGGAGGTAAAGCGCCCTTAAGGAGACCAATTTCGATATCTCGGCACCATTATCTCCAATGATGGCATCGCCAAGCTAGAGTTACACGGAAATGTCGATTTAGCTTCTAGTGCTTTTAGTAATCTGTCCAAAATCTGTGCGGAGAAACGATTAATAATCACAAATTCTATTGCACCTCGCATCGGACGGCATGGATATAGTTTTTCTAACGAAAGACCATGGATGATCGGTTAAACTGGGTACGGCGCCGTTGACCTTGATACACTGCGAGAGCTAAATGGCAGGACCATGTAGAACATCGCTGTTCTCTTCCAGGTACAGGTGACATAAGGAAATTTACACATTATGAAACAGAGATCAGCACTGTTCGCCAAACTGGATGAGGAATAAAATAAGCTTCACATGTGGGAGATGAGACACAGAAGACGTCGACCAGGAGGCGATCATTCATCATGGAGGAATAAGGTTGAGACAGATCTGCTTTTGGAAAGGAATTCTAACACCACGGTAAAGTAAAACAAAAGTACTGCAACGCTGTGAATTCAACGCCGTGTTACATCACAAACTAGGGTCATTCTGCTTGGGCAAATGGCTAAAGGTGATACTCTCAACAAATAACATACAAAGAAATTTCAATTTCACGATACTTTGAAAGAGTTTCCTCACCAGCTGCTACTGAAATATTCATAAGTTTGAAAAGCTGCTGTCCAAGCATTAGCTAGCAAGTAACCATCAATCTCCGTTGCTCAAATGATATCCGGATGCAACCTTAAACTTACGCAGAGAACGAACAGAATTCTTTATGAGGGTAAACCCCCGCTGTTGGAACAAAGTCCGCATGAGAAGGGAGCTGGACTGCATACAGTGGCGAGGTATCTGCAAAACTTTTCCGCCTAACCTCATGGTATTGCCATCATCGAACAGTATACCGACTCGGTCGTTGCCCGGGTTACCAACGGCCGCGCAAGCCGTCGGGGAACTGAGGCTGGTTCCGAATGTTGGCGATCAGAACCTGTTTATGCTTTCTAACAGCTGGGTGTAGCGGCATAATAACGGCTACTGAAAATCGACGAAACGACGACGAAGATACCAATCAACAACAGAGTCACAACCCGTTCAGAACAGAGAAAACAGAATGCCATTATAGCACGTCAAAAAAAGACCCCACGGAAATAACACAGTCAGTGGGAGCTTACAGTCGGAAACTGCAATATACCCTCACTCAGAGGGAAAGAGCAAGAGCTAGTTGATGCGGCTACAACGTACTAACTCGAAATAGATGGACTTTCATCAATGAATTGCCAAGGCTATGAAATTCTAAAGATGGAAGCGATGGGAGCTATTCTGCTCAAGTGTCGACATCACAATACGAAATCAGTCCGGTGATGCCGCTCTAGCAGAACCAAAACTGGCATACAAAGTAACTTAATGGAATCCCGAAGGCGGAAGAGTAGCCAATCATCTCATGAGCCTACAACAGCTAAAACTTTCACCTTATTATAGGTCTATGCACCAAATTCAAAAGGATGAGTCCTTCCTGGATGAAGTATAACATGCAAATGTATGAACAACCAACTAAGGAGTTGCTCATTCTAATGGAGAATTTTAATGCGTTATGTCAGAGCATACAAGTGTGATTTGAAAGAACAGCCCTAGTGATCTCAACAATAACGGAATGAAATTGCTGCAGTTTTCTGCAAACAACGGACTGTCCATTATGAACACATTTTTCGAGAATTGAAGCATGCACCAGTATACACTGTAGATGGAATTTTGTACACAGAAGCCCATGATCGATTTGATAATCTACCGTCTGACTCCTGTAATGGATGTTAAGAGAGACGCAAAGCTGTCAACTGATCATCGCCATGCTTTTCGAATGCTACACTAAGAGATGCCATGCGACGATATGGTGGCAGAAGCACGCAGAGAATCAAACTGAAAACATTAACCTCAAGGAATACGAGAGCGGAATTTGCGAACTGGAACAACATTACACGTCGGTTTCAACAGATTCCGGTGATGACCCTGACAGAGAACTTCCTGGTGGACACGAAAGTACAACTGACTGTCAGCGAGATGGTTGAATTAAAGAAATGGCTTGGAAGCAAAGAGCCTTCAATGCGGTACGAAGAAATGCGCAAAGCGGCAGCAAAAAAGTGGAAAAGCGAAAGCCGATTCCTGGGGATAGTTCGGTGAAGAGTTGGGGTCGAATTTTTAGACGGTAAACAAGGTATTCTCACAGACAATCAGAAGGCTCTGATGTGAAAAGAAAGGTAGTCCATGGTTTTGGAAGGAAAATATGGACATCCATTTATAGAGAATGACGACATTCTTCGATGACTGAGAGAGTACTTGGCAGAATTTCTGAACCCCCGAGCAACCGCAGAAAGACTCTGAGGAGCAGCAGGGAATGTATATTAATATTGCTGCAGATGAAATAACGCTGCTGCGAAAAGTTTAAGATGTGAAAAGGCTGCTGGAATTGATGAAATCCGCCCTGAAATGCTCAAAGCAACACGCGAACAAGGCATGTGCTGGCTTACATGTGCCTGTCAGACTGCAATGGCTACGGGGAAGACACCAGATGAATGAAGAGCGGGAGATGTAGTGTCATGATTCGGGCAGGGAGATTACAAGGAGTGCTCCAACTATCGGGGCATAACCGGTCTATGCAAATGTGCTAGAAACGAGGTGCCGCGGAAAAACACAATTCAAAATAAAAGATGAGCAGGCGGCTTCCTTCCTGGCTGAAATACATCTGACAAGATATTCACCCTACACCAGACTTATGGAAAATCGTTGGAGTTCGCTCGATCCGGTTCATGTGTTTTGTGGATTTAAAGAAGGCCTATGATCGGATCTCGCGCATAAACATATGGGCATGCCTGTGAACATATGAAATCGATGGTCAGTTGCTATAGGCCATCAAATCACTATATGCTGACAGCAGGTCTGCATAATAGCAAATGGCGTTAAATCGAAACCTTTTAACGCTGGCATAGGTCTCTGCCAAAGATGCGTCCTGTCCCTTCTCCTGTTTGTGTTGTACATGGATGGAATAGTACGGCGCAGCCAAGGCGACGAGGGTATCGGTGCAGGAGATGTGAAGTCGAGAAGGTTGCTGTTGGCAGACGACCTTGTTTTATTACCATCTTCTGAAAATGATCTTCTTAGAAAGGTTCGCAGCCGAGTGCGACGTGACCGGCATGGGTGTGAACGCATCTAAAACGAAAAGCCTAATGCTTTCTCGTTCTCCA